GAGTGGCGGTGGCATGCGCGGCAAAACGCGGAGGCCCGCGCGGATGCCTCGGATCGGCGCTGGGGCCCCCTGGCGGCGGCCCTGGCGCCGTCCCTGGCGCGCTCCGCACGCCAGGGAGGGGGTCCGGCGTCGATCCCAGGAATCCGCGCGGACCTCCGAGGACCTCTGCTTAAGTCACTGCTTGTTCCCCCCTGCAGGGAGCCACAGCTGCGGCAGCTCCGCGTCTCGTCGACCCGCCGCGACCCCGCCGCGGGCGTCCGAGGCTGAGCGCCGCCAGAGGCCCGGATCGGCCAATATGTGGCGATCGGCAAGCGGCCGATCGCTCAGAGGTTGAACGATCCGCGCTGTGTCAGAAACCAACTCGTTTGATGCTCGTTTTGGGGACCTTCCTTGGGCCCACCTAATGGATCTGTTCGACTCAGGTTCGACTCAAGTTCGACTCAGGTTCGACACATATTCGACTCAGGTTCGACTCAGGTTCGACTCAGATTCGACGCAGCTTCGACGCACGAGTGGAGCGAGTGGCTACAGGAAGGTCCCCAGAATGAGCATCTAAAACTCGCAGGTCGTCACGACACGAGCCTGCCGCGGGAGTGCCCCCCGGGGCCAGAGCCCGCCGACCTCGGCACGCGCACTCTGCTCGTGGTGGTGGTCGACCGTTGGCCGTCCCGGGGCGCCCACGCCAGCCGCCACCGGCACGAGGCTGGTCTCCCAGAGATCCGGCGTCGTGATTTCTTCAACACGGGGTCCCCGGAGGTCTCGACCCACTCCCCAGGACTGCATGGTCTTTCCTCCCGAGCCGTTTCTTGAGGATCCCGGGGCCCGGCGAGGGCCGCTGCAGGCTGAAGATTCACAAACAGCTCCGTCTTGATTTGTTCAATGCGGTGGAGGAGGAGGAGGAGGAGGAGGAGGAGGAGGAGGAGGCGGTCGACGACTGCGGGCACGCGCAGGACACCTCCCCCGGGGCGTGCCCTCGAGGCGGCCGCGCCCGCCTGCGGCCCCCCGCAGGTCCACATCCCGATGCCCGTGGCCACTGGCGAGCAGCGGGCGGAGAAGGACCCGGCGGCACGGCGCGCTCCAGACAAAGAAAGGGCCTCGCCTGCGAGGGTCGACGGAGTTGACACATCTCATATCCTCCCCCTCCCTCTCCCCCTCCTCCTCCTCCTCCTCCTCCTCCTCCTCCTCCTCCTCCTCCTCCTCCTCCTCCTCCTCCTCCTCCTCCTTCGCCCTTGGGCGGGACCTCACCGCGAGCCCGCAGAACCCCCGCCCTGAGCGCGGGGGGGCTTCGTGGGCCGCCCCTCGGATTCCTCCGCGGCAGGCCAGCGGGAGGCGGGCGGGAGGCAAAGGGGGGGCGGCTCCGCCTGCGGAGCTGCGGCGGAAGGCCGCCGGCGAGCCGGCGGCAGACAGATGGAGCGCCCTGACTCCAGATGCGCCCTCCTTTGGCTGTTTTCCCCAACGTAAAGCCAAAGCAGGGCGGATCTGGAGTCCGGGTGCGTGAAGCCAAAGCCAGCGCAGCCACCCGGGGAGCAGCGATAGGCCTCGTCCGGGCGCGCGTGGGCCCCCCTGACTCCAGATCCGCCCTACTTTGGCTTCTTTCCCAACGTAAAGTTGCGTCGGAAATCCACCTACAAGAGGCCGAAGAAGTAGGGCGGGAATTCCTGCACCCAACATACAGTAGGGCGGAAATCCACAGAAGCAGGGCGGAAACAGCAACAGAAAAGTAGGGCGGAAATTGACATCAGCGGGGCCTGAAAAGTAAAGCGGGATTCCAAGCCCTACTTACGAATTTCCCCAAAGTAGGGCGGAGCCGGAGTCAGGGTGGGCTGCGCGGCGCACTCTGGAACTCCGGGCCTCTCAGATGGGGCTCGAGCGTGTGGGGTCGGACGATCGGGCCGCATCGCCAACGCCTCGGCGGTGCGGCCCCGGTGCGGAGGCCGAATTGTTCCCTACCTAGGCTCTGCCTAGAAGGGTTCTTACTCTCTAGCTTAAAGGGGCCGGGCAGTGGAAAGCGCCCCGGGCGGTTCCCCCAGTCCCCGCCCCGCGGTTCCCCCAGTCCCCGCCCCCTGGGTTCACCCAGCTTAGCTTAGCTTAGCTTAGCTTAGCTAGGCTTATATTAGCTTAGCTTAGCTTATCTCATCTTAGCTTAGCTTAGCTTTGCCTAGCCTAGCTTAGCTAAGCGTAGCCTAGCTCATCTTAGCTTAGCTTAATTTAGCTTAGCTTAGCTTAGCCTAGTTTAGCATGGCTTAGCTTAGCTTAGTTTAGCTTAGTTTAGCTTCGCCTAGCCTAGCTTAGCGTAGCTTAGCTTAGCTTAACATGCCTTAGCTTAGTTTAGCTTAGCTTAGCGCAGCGCAGCATAGCGCAGCGCAGCATGAGCGCAGCATAGCATAGCATAGCATCGCCAATCATAGCAAACCATAGCATAGCACAGCATATCATAGCTCTGCATAGCATCGCATAGCATAACATAGCATTGCATAGCATAGCATAACACAGCAGTGAA